TGTATGTACCTAAATATTTCTCAATTCGCAAATAAATAGGCTGAAGTTTGTACGTCAAAAATGTGTTTGGATATCGACTAATAAACAGCAATAAAATCGTTTCCAAAATTTTTCTTTAAAATTTTGTGTTGCTACAATCTTTTGTGTACGTAAATGAGTTTTTGGAAAAGTGGTCACACTACTTATACCGCTAGCTCTCGTAGCTGGCTACGAGATCGTTTTCATATACCCCCATTTTTCATAAATTTGGGACTGATTTCATTTACCTCTATTCCAAGTTCTACGGTGGCACGCTGCAATTTCCAATAAACCCATATTTTTCCATGAGCTTGAGATTGAGTTCATATACATACATATATCCATACCAAGTTCCAGGACTCTACCATAAATACTTCCAGAGATATGCACAATGAAAAATTCGATTTGTATGGGAGGTTCCACACCCCCTTTAGATATCCGTTTTGTTTTAGCCTATAACCATTCTTGGAAAATTTGTGTCCAAACTTTCAACCAAAAAAGAACATTAGACTTCATTCTCTCAACTTCTCAGAATGTAGAAAAGCTAAGAAATATATAATAAGATAGCATATATTAAAACAGCCTCCACAATATTTGCCAAAAGACGCCCCTGAACTACACAAATCAGTTTGATTGAAAATTTGTTTTTATCTATTTATTTTATACTTCACTTTTGGGTGTGTCAAAATTTCATGTGAAAACAATATGTGTTGCTGGAGAAATTTCACGGCCCATGGGTCCCAAAGTAAATTCCATTTGCTGTTAAATGGAAAAAGACAATCAGGTAGGTTCTGAAATCCGAGTGAAAGTGAATTTGGAAATGAATCCAAATCCGAGTGAATTTAATTTTGGTGTTCTGGAAAACGAAATATTTGTTCATTTTCGCACTCGGATTGCATTCACCCTAATAATGAACTTTACATCTGACATCTGCCAATTTGACACAATCTAACAAACTTTTAGCAAGCAAAGTTGTCAATTAAACACAAATAAATAACAAAGATTTAAATGAAAAACGAAAAATGAGTGCTTTAATTGCGTTTGCTACCATATTTATGGAAACTGAGGAGCATGCAGAAGAAGCCCTTAATAGAAGAATACTGCGGAATCATTCCAATCCATTAGAGGTTCCTGAATCGGTGTAAGTATGTAATATTTGCAAGAAGTTCAAATGTTCAACCAATTTCGTAGTTTCGTGTCCAACTACAGAGTCAACAAAGATGCCTTTATTATGCTGTTGAACGTTGTTGACCCTCACATAAAAGGCACATCCATTCCAACGCAACTGCAACTGGCAGCTACTTTGAGATTCTTAGCTGAAGGCGGTTTTCAGAAAGCAGTGGGAAAAGATAGCTACATTGCAATGGGGCGAAGTACGGTGGCTAAAGTAACAAAACGACTGCTCAAAATTTTAGAAAGGTATTTCTGTCCACATTGGATTAAATTAAATATGACGGAAAATGAGCTGGCTAAATCGAAACAACATTTCCAGCAAAAATTTGTCATTCCGGACGTTATTGGATGTATAGACGGAACGCATATACAAATAACAAAGCCACATAAAGATCACAGTCTTTTTTATAACCGAAAAGGTTATTTTAGTATCAATGCAATGATCGTAAGTGTTGTAACTTTTGAAGAAAATGATTCTCTATGTATTTGAGCTAAATGGTTGAAACCGTTTGTTTTAGATTTGTGACTACAATATGGTTATCAAAGCAGTTGACGCTCGTCGCCCCGGATCAAGCCATGACGCTTTAATTTGGAGTGTTAGTAGAGCTCAGGACTATTTCCAGCGGCGATACGAAAACGGAGATCGCGGGTCTTGGCTCTTGGGTGATGCTGGTTATGCTCTTCAACCATATTTGCTAACACCATACCGAGACCCACATGTTGGCACAGTACATCATACTTTTAATCAAAAACATTCTTCGGCACGCAACGTTGTTGAGAGAACGATAGGGGTCTTAAAAAGCCGGTTTAGATGCTTAGCCCGCTGTCTTCAATACCAACCACAAAAGGTGGTACAAATAACAAATGTTTGCTGCGCTTTGCATAATGTTTGCAAACACTACAAAGTGCAAGAGTTAATTGAGTTTGACATTGAAGACGATTGAAATGAATCTGCTGTTGCTGAAGAAATATTAACCGCGTCTACACTTGATGAGGCGATAATGATACGAGAGAATATAGCCACCCACCTTCATACAAATACCTGAAAATTTAATTCATCTCCTTAAATAAAACAACATTTATAACGGGTGATTTTTTAAGAGCTTGATAACTTTTTTTTAAAAAAAAACGCATAAAGTTTGCAAAATCTCATCGGTTCTTTATTTGAAACGTTAGATTGGTCCATGACATTTACTTTTTGAAGATAATTTCATTTAAATGTTGACCGCGGCTGCGTCTTAGGTGGTCCATTCGGAAAGTCCAATTTTGGGCAACTTTTTCGAGCATTTCGGCCGGAATAGCCCGAATTTCTTCGGAAATGTTGTCTTCCAAAGCTGGAATAGTTGCTGGCTTATTTCTGTAGACTTTAGACTTGACGTAGCCCCACAAAAAATAGTCTAAAGGCGTCAAATCGCATGATCTTGGTGGCCAACTTACCGGTCCATTTCTTGAGATGAATTGTTCTCCGAAGTTTTCCCTCAAAATGGCCATAGAATCGCGAGCTGTGTGGCATGTAGCGCCATCTTGTTGAAACCACATGTCAACCAAGTTCAGTTCTTCCATTTTTGGCAACAAAAAGTTTGTTAGCATCGAACGATAGCGATCGCCATTCACCGTAACGTTGCGTCCAACAGCATCTTTGAAAAAATACGGTCCAATGATTCCACCAGCGTACAAACCACACCAAACAGTGCATTTTTCGGGATGCATGGGCAGTTCTTGAACGGCTTCTGGTTGCTCTTCACTCCAAATGCGGCAATTTTGCTTATTTACGAAGCCATTCAACCAGAAATGAGCCTCATCGCTGAACAAAATTTGTCGATAAAAAAGCGGATTTTCTGCCAACTTTTCTAGGGCCCATTCACTGAAAATTCGACGTTGTGGCAGATCGTTCGGCTTCAGTTCTTGCACGAGCTGTATTTTATACGGTTTTACACCAAGATCTTTGCGTAAAATCTTCCATGTGGTCGAATAACACAAACCCAATTGCTGCGAACGGCGACGAATCGACATTTCACGGTCTTCAGCAACACTCTCAGAAACAGACGCAATATTCTCTTCTGTACGCACTGTACGCATTCGTGTGGTTGGTTTAATGTCCAATAAAGTAAACTGAGTGCGAAACTTGGTCACAATCGCATTAATTGTTTGCTCACTTGGTCGATTATGTAGACCATAAATCGGACGTAAAGCGCGAAACACATTTCGAACCGAACACTGATTTTGGTAATAAAATTCAATGATTTGCAAGCGTTGCTCGTTAGTAAGTCTATTCATGATGAAATTTCAAAGCATACTGAGCATCTTTCTCTTTGACACCATGTCTGAAATCCCACGTGATCTGTCAAATACTAATGCATGAAAATCCTAACCTCAAAAAAATCACCCGTTATTTAAAATAAAATATAATTCACTTTTTATTGGAACAAAAGTTAAATTTCCTATTTAAAAAATAACATATGTACATTAAAAAACTATTTACAGACAACTATTTACAAAAAATATTTACAGATAATTATTTACAGATAGATATTTACATAAAACTACATATTTACAAAGGTGGAGAGTGTTATCTAATTACTTGGTTTGTAGTGGTATTTCAAATACATTTTTAACTACTCTAACTCACACTCTTTTTGTTTGAGCTCATTCTCCGTGTGACGCAGCCTCTCCATTTGGAGATGATGCATTTTTTTCTCCTGATTACCTTCTTGTATGGCAACTGTCATTTCCTTCACAGCTTCGCATAGACTTTTTATGCCGGTGCTTACTTCGTTTGTGGCGTCTACATTGTCCTGCAACTCATCTACCAAACTTTTCATGGCACTTGTCTGCTCCCCAATGTTAGTCTTAAGTGAGTCGGAAACTGCAGGCTCGCGCCTTCGGGACCGTGTTGAAGCAGCGGCACTAGTGGATGGTATATCGTCACTGGAAGCCTCCGAAGAAATCTCATTGCTTCCAGTAGGTGCACCGAAGTCTGCTGTGTTGGCAATACCTTCCACCACCGTATATATTCCACATAAACGGGCAATTGCATCCTCTGTTTTCGTCAGGACATGCTTGTTGAATGGACCTCCTCCGGTTGCCCTAGCTTCGGTGTTGTTGTGAGCAACTTTTTTCCTGACAAAGGCCTTCCAATCCATCCAAACCTATTAAAATATTTACATTAGAAAGGTCGATTAACGTAGAAAAAATTAACTTGGTCACCTTTTTCCAGCCAGACATATCCTTATGCGGTGGGCCGTGGGCATTCAAATCTTCTACCAGCTCCTTCCAGAGTGCATCTACTTTGGCTTTGTCACCTTTCACGAAGCCTCGAGCGATATCCCGATGATTCTCCATGAATTGGAGAAGGATTGTAACCTGTTGCGCATTCTTCTGTTTTCCCCTTAAACATTTAATTTGTGTAAAATTTGTTACTCTTTTATTCTTATTAGTTTTAATATTAATGTATTTCAATAATAATTTAAAATTTACTCACATTTCGTCACGATCACAACCGCTAATTTAAAATTTGTGTGTATGCATAAAATCCACAAACTTGAAACGAAGTGAATGAAATCCGAAGATTTTTTCGCGGATTCGTTTATCAGAACATCCAAATTCACTCGGAACTCATTTTGGAAAAAAATGTGGAAATGAAACTCGGAAAGTGAAACACAGAACACCAAATGTCGGATTCAAAGTGAATTTGGTTCAAATTCACTCGGAAGTGAATTGCAGAACCTGCCTGAATATATATTAAATAGCACATCGTATTCGATATAGAAAACTACATTGTGAAATAATCAGATGACATGAGGACACTAAAAAATTTCTAAAATATGTTCATGATAATGATTTGGCAAGTTGTTATCGAGTTTAATGTAAAATTTAAACATTTTTAAGATAAGATATTAATAATTTTTAAAAGGTAAATATTAACACAACTATTTTATTTATAATCCCAAATTTAGGATATAAAATCTCCCACACCAAAAAACTTACAATTGGGTAACGCCGCTTCGAATTTTTTCACAATTGAGCAATTGTCAAAAATCTGCTTTTTAATCAAAACGTTGTTTATTGAAACTACCTTCTTTTTTGTATCATGCCTATACTATTCAAAATTTTATTTTTTTAAATTTAAATTTTCAATTGTGAGCTGTACGACTGATATAAATACATAATAAAATGAAAAGGAATTACGGGCGGTGCGTTGTGTTTGTCAAGAACTAGGACAAGTAACTTGTGCCCTATTTTAAACATCCGAATTGTCCAGTGAAGCGACAACGGTGGGCAAATTGCTGCGATGTTTCATTAGGAGACTCTTCAAGTATGCGCGTGACTTTATTTTTTGCCCATCGCAGCCGAGTATTTCTAAGCGGACGCGTTTGTTCCCAGATGCAGGATTTATCATACCGAATCTTAAAAGAAAATCTCCCACTCATATACATGGATAGACCAAATTTCAAATGGTGGTCTGATAAAGCTTAAATCCTTGTTGACATAAAGAAACTGAAAGTAGTTTTTAATAAATTCAATGTAAAGGAAATTTAGAATTGCAAAAATTTAATAGCTAAATTATTGAAGTTAAGTTCTGATGTAAATTTAGAAGAATCGAACTTTTTTTAAATGTCTAATATACTTTAGAATTAAGTATTTGAATAAAAAAATAAGTGCTCTAAAACATTGGGATAGCAAAAAAAAATTGTCAAATCGGTTTTATAAATAAGTGTGTTTCACTGAGTATGTAATTTTGTGTAGGTATGCATTTCCACATTTACGTTAGAACGAAAATGCAGCAACTAAAATGAAGCTGATTCTAATAAGATTTTAAATATTTTCATATTTACAAAAACTGTAATTTCAAAGATATTGAGTTTTATCAAATATGGTAAATGCATAACAAAGGGTTAATTTCTTTGTTTAAATATTTTGACATTGCAATCAGCTATGAGAGAGCTCGACTGAATTGTCACTTCTACCATGTTGAACATGCCTTGATACCAGTGAAGGGTAAAATTTTATTTACCAAAAACTAAGTGCTAAGTATTTAGGTATTTATGTATGCTTTAGTAAATATGTACTAAAGTACTACAGTGAAACTTCTCCTAACGGACACCTCTATTAGGCGGACATCTCCCTTGGGCGGACATTTTTTCCTATACAAAGTTTTAAGTATAAATTTCGAAACAAATTACTCTCTCTTAAGCGGATACCCTCTTGGCCGGACGCGGACAGTTATTTTGCATAAAATTGACACAAAACCCTCAATTGAGCGGACGCGAACCTCTTATCAATTGACATGAAGATTTCTTTTCATAACAAATCAAACAAAAACCTCCGTTGAGCGGACACGAACTCCTCATAGGCGGACTACTAAATGGAAAAGGGGGACTTCCCGCATAAAATGAGATTTTTATGCACACATTTAGTTGGGTTTGCGCAGTGGTTTAGGTTCGTTATTTGAATTATCAGAAACCCTTGGAGAATCCAATTCTAATTCTGATGAATTTATAACAATAGATAATAATAAATACATGGATCGAAAATTAGATTTGTGGATGGATCTGTTACTGATAAAAACGTGAAAACTATTGATGACAAAGGTACTGACACTGAAAAAAATTAAAAATAAAACTTACGTCAATCGACAATTTCCCAGTTTTTTATGTAATGAATCTATGGTTTTATGTAGTTTATGGACTGAAATGTAATATTTATTTTTATTTTGTTATTACTTAATATGTACTTACGCACATAAATGTAATATGCACTTTTGAAAAAATACATGCACATTTTTGTTTGAACGATGTAATATCAATATCTTTTATCCAAATAAGAAATAGTGACTATTCAATTAATTAAAAAATTAAAAAAATTCTAAAATAACTTCCCTTCCATTGAGCGGACACCTCTCTTGGGCGGACAAAAAATGACTGACGGTGAGTGTCCGCCCAAGGGGGTTTCACTGTATTTATTTAAGTATTTTGGATGTTACTAAAGGCCGAGTAGGCTAGTAAATATTTAGTTATTATCACAGCGCTAAATACTTGGTCAAAAAGTATTTAGTTAGTTTCACCTAGCGGAACACCGCGTACAAATGTACAATGAGACTAACTACCGCGTACAAAAAGATTCCCACTAGAAAGGGGACAGTCCCCGCTTTCTAAAAAGGCGTACGCACCCCCTTGGACTCCTCCCAAAGGCCCCTAGGGAACCGTTTTAAAAAGGGGGAAAAACGGAATTTTCTTAGGCAAACTGAGCAGTTTTGAAGTGGAATATGACCCCCCAGAAACCATGGGAGTTTTTAATAAAAGAAATTATGCCAAATTAGATATCGGGCGATTTTGAATAAAGAATAAAAAAGTTAATTAAAAAAAGAAAAAAAAAAGTTTTTATAAAAAAAATGTTCTTTTTAACAAATGTATTTTTGTGCAGAGTTCCTTCCTTCGGTCGCACTTAGGGATTATAACCCTCAGGCAGTAGAATTCTCCTTTCTGTGTTGCCAAAGAAGGGGGGCTGGACACCTTTTGCAGAGAACACCTTTCGGCGTAGGCGGCCTTCGGCCGCACTTAGGAATTATAACCCTCAGGCAGTAGAATTCTCCTTTCTGTGTTGCCAAAGAAGGGGGGCTGAACACCTTTTGCAGAGAACACCTTTCTGCGTAGGCGGCCTTCGGCCGCACTTAGGGATTGTAACCCTTAGGCAGTAGAATTCTCCTTTCTGTTTTGCGAAGAAAAGAGAACACCTTTGTATACTTTTAATGCTCTTTTGTATATTTTGGAATTTGACAGCTGAACTCCGCCATTTAATTTGAATATGCAACCAAAGTCAGACGCGTGATTTTGAAGATGTTTTTATTTAATGAATTGTGATTAATTGGTTAATATGAAAGTCGTAAAGCAAGTTACAACTAATCGAGTGAAGTGTAAAGTGAAGGGCAATACAAAAATGTATTGGTGAATTGGCTGCTTTAAGGCGAATAGAAGTGATAAATGTACGCTAATTTCCGAATTTTACAAAAAAACGGCATATTTCAAACCCAATTTGTAAATAAATTAGTGACCAAAATTTACAAAAGTGAGTGTTAGAATAATGCGTAGACCCTTGACTACAAGTTTGTGGAATTTTTTTTTTAGATCGGGCCACCCTTTTGGACGGAATAGCCCGAAATAGTTGTGAGCGCTACTAAACCCCACCCATCGATTATTATATCGATAAATATATCGACAATAACATCGATTATTTTATCGATAAAAATATTGATAATCATACCTATTATAACACCGATAACAATATCGACAAATATAACGATTGCAAAATCATTAAATTTATCGATAAATATATCGAATCAAGATCGACAAATATAACGAAAATTTCGAAATAGACCCAAAATCATGAAATAGTCCTGGGAATCCCGAAGTAGTCTCGAAAATCTCGAAATAGTGTTGATTAAATTTTTCCTAAATCATAAAGTATTTAATTTGTAAGTATTTAGCCATGTAATAAATACTGTTTAGGCCTCCAGCCTTAATATATTGCTCCACCCTAATATGCAGTAACATGCACCGTATATGTACAAACATACACACACAAACTCACGCTAATATACATATGTACCCCGCCGCTTAATAACTGTGTTGAGGGGAAATTGAACCTAAGTACATGGTTCGGCGGGTACAACGGAGTTTGAAAATATATCTAAATTCACTTCTCCGAGAACTTTCAACCTGTTCACCAGCTACCACGCCACACTGAGGTGAGAGCATCAAGTACGCTTTGTAACGTTGTACACAATCATTTAAATACAAAATAAAGATCAGGGACCACTTATTAATTATTAACACTTTGAATCCTTGTCTTCTCTTTACATGATAATTTACGTACGAGCACTCAACTCCGTGCGACGTGTCTCCGCAGTAAACATTGGTTCATCTACGCCGTTAAAGCAACAACGAGCGCCTACAATACAGTCTACCCTGGAATTGAGATACATAAACCAACTTTAAGTTTCCACAGTTCCAGAGCCAAAGCAATTTGCCACTAAGAACTTACCTCACAGTTCCTGCCTTTTAATTACCACAAACCACCAGCACTTAATCTATGCAACCAGCACGCAGCTTATTACAGCAAAGATACGTGGTTGAGTTTCTTGCACTTATTTATGTGTCAGCAAAGTGTTCAAGTTTTGTGTAAAAGATTTTATCGCAAGTGATTTTTTCACAAAACAAAAAGAGCAAGGGACTCAGAAGTGAATATTCAAGTTCAAAAACAATTTTTCACTATTGTGAGTGCATCGGCCATATGCGTATAAGCGCGCGAACGTCCATCACAGTTCTTAACACAGTGTTGTTTGT